TAGAAATGCTAATTATTTTTAAATGATTCATTACAAACTAAAAATAAAAATTTCATTTTGTTTCTTGGACTGCTTGCCCCAAAGGAATTTTCAAATTCAATTTTCAAAGGTGTTTAGTAGGATCTTTCAAAAGTTATAAATGTATTCCTTACATATTGCACAACTCCAGCCATTTATGTGCCACTCGGTGAGATGAAACTGATAATATAAGTAATGCTAAGCTATAAAAATCAATTCCACCTCTCCCCCCAAAAAATTCAGGGAGCTCAAATAGTTGGGGGGATTTAATAACAACTAGATGGCATCATCTTCCATTTTAGGACTAGTAAACATACTAACACATCCACTTTGAAGATAACTGCTTCCAAAGTGCAGCAACCAGCAGAAAGCAGTTGACAAGGATAAAGGGTTAAAATTGAATTGGGGATTTACCCTCCCCCCAGATAACCTCCTTGTAGCATGCAAATCAAGATCAGCATTTTCTGTCTTCCCCCACACCCGTGACATGCCCATTTTCATCACCAGAGCCAAGAACATTTCCAAGCAGAGGGGCGTAGAAGACCAATGTGCGAGAGATAACTCACCTCCCTGACTTTCTCAATAGCGTTGGTGAAGATGTAAATGATGACAAGCCACTCTTGCACACTGGGCTGGGGCTGCATCTCCACCAACACCGTGTAGGTGAACAGCATGAGGAATGCCAAATATGCCATCTGTGAGGGGAACACACATTCCCTGGACGTGAGTGACAGTGAGCATGGAGGATGCCAAGCAGACACAGACCCAGAAACACAGCCACGAACTTCAACGGGATAATATGAACATAGAACTGGGACCATCTTCAGATTATTGAGGATCCAGTATCTAAAAAGGCACAAGAATCCACAGTTTTCTAGTCTAGGATTTAGTGGTGGAACGGAAATCACTGTTCTCGGATGCACGGAAGGAGACACTGTCTCTCTCGTCCTATTGGCTGCTAACCCTGCACATTCCAGGACTAACACTGTCAGGCTAACAGCAAGCCAAGGAGGAATCACATGCCTTTCCCTCTATCGTAAACATAGAAAATATGTGTGCTAAGCATGCCGGATAAGCTAAGCAGTGTCAGTATTTTTTCAAGTAGTATATTTCAAATACAGTGAATTGTGATATTTACAACTGCTGGGAGTTTTATTTTATAATGTGTTGATTAAAATATTTTGATTAATAGAAAAGTTTTGTCCAACTGTAAGCCCTTGTAATTAAGGACTGTTTATTAATGTTTTTATGTTCAGCACTCAGCATTCCACCTGATATGACAGGCATTCAATAAATGTTTGTTTAATTACTAACTGTGCATATTACACCTAGATTCCCAAACTCTTCAAAGAATTAAACATGATGAACACACACATTATGTTTAATCGTTTTGTAATCTTATCTAATGTTCTTATCTTCTTAAGATATATTTCTCAGAAGCAGAATAGCTACTCACGCACATTGAGTACTGTGAAAAATATTACTAAATTACCCACCAGAAAGGCTTTACCAATTTTCACTATCTCCAACAATGTATGAGACTGCGCATTCCTTTAACTAGCTTCAGAGACAACAGATTGTGCTCACTGATCAATACTGCATTAAAAATCCTAGATCAGTAGACAGAGAAATGTGGATAGGTGTTCATTCTCACAAGAATCATAATATAATCTTGATCCCTATTTCTCATATCTTTTTGAATTCTACGTAAGTTTACAAGTCTGTTTCTAAGTCTAGTTCTGCACAGAAAACATAGAGAATGTCTTAAATCGTTACTGACTATACAAGAGTGGTCTTACTTACAACAGGTAGTATTTGGGGCAGTCATAATGGGTATTACTGCCTATGAGTTAAGAAATTATAGAAGAGGAGCATATAAGGAAGTCAAAGTAAATTTCATTAATTCTATACTTCTCTTGGTCTATGTTTCAATGTCTGAGTATTTTTGATGACCCCTTAGGGACATAATTTAAATAAATTTGAGCAGTCATTTTAATGATCAAGTAATCTT